CATGGCCCGCGCCGCCCAGCCGCGGCCCGCCAGCCCCGAGCGCCGCGCGGCCGGCCGCTGAGCGCCTCCCGGAGGCGGAGGCCCGGCCTGGCCTCGGAGCGAGCGCCCGCCGCGCCCGGCTCCCTCGGCTGCTGGCGCCCCGCGCCCTTGCCCGCGCCCGCTGCCGCCGCCGCCGCCGCCTCCCGGCCGGAGCATGGAGACGGCGGAGAAGGAGTGCGGCGCCCTGGGCGGGCTCTTCCAGGCCATCGTCAACGACATGAAGGTAATGGGGTGCGGCGGGGCCGGGTGCCCGGCGGGCGCGCGGGTGCGGGTCCCTCTGGGGACGAGTGGCGGCGGGCATTCGGGCCCCGCTGTGTGCGCGCGCCGCGCTGTGTGTGTCCTTGTCTGAACGCGTCCGGCCTGTGTCGGCTGTGTGCCTGGGTCTCGGGGTCCCTGTCTGAGGGGTGCTGGTGTTCGTGTGTCGGGGTGTCCAGGCGGCGCCCCGGGGTCTCTGCCCGGGGTCGCCGGGCCGTAGCGCCCCCGTGGGGTCCCCACCGGAGGCTGCTCACACGCGGGCTCCCTGTGCCCCCAGCCCCCAAATCATGAATGAGGTTTGGCTCGGGTTTCGACTCTACGGTCCTAATGTGATGGGTCCCGGGTCTCGCCGGCCTCCGCCCCCTACCGCTACCGTGCACCCTCCGCGGCCCCAATTCCGCACCACCACCACCACCACCCCGCCCCCCGACGGCCCTGGAGCCCAGACAATGCTGTCACCGCCAAAGCAGGGAAAAATAATAAGGCAGAAAACCGTTAACTCCTTCACCGCCGGCCTCGGCCTCTGTGCTCGACCCTGCGACTCTTGCACGCCCCCACCCCAACACACCCCTGCCCAGGTACCCTGAAACAGGCCCTCGGAAGCTACAGGACTCCAAGGTCTCCAGGCTGACTGTCCCTGCATCCCAAGGCCTCTGTCCTCACCTTGGAAGGAGGAAGGGAGAGACTTTGGGTTTCTGGAGGATCCCCAAGGGAGAGCCTACTACCACCCTAGGCCTTCACCAACCCCCAACCCCGCACCCCCCCCCCCATGACTGGCCAAGGCCAGACAGAAGCAGGCCACCAACCCTTGGCCCACCACTAGCTCACTAGGTGGGGAAACTGAGGCCTGGGACTGGCTCAAGGTCATTAAGGATACTGTCCGACTCTGTCCCTGACCTCACTCCTCTCTGTTGATCTGGGGAGCAAGGGAGATCCTCTCCCCAGAGGGGCCAGGGTTTGGCAGGGCTGCCCCAGGCTGACTAGGCAGAGAGGAGTTGCAGTCCTAGTGACAGGATGGGGGCCGGGAACAACGGTCCTGCCTTTCTTCTCTGAGGCAGGATTGTGGGGCAGGGGAAAGAACCAGGCTCTGCACATGAACTCCAGAGAGCCCCCACCCTATCACACACTCCCAAGTATACAACACAGAATCCCACGGTGACATGACAGGCCCAGGAGGAGACACCACACAGTGCCTAGTGCAGCTAACCCCACAGTGCCCAAGCAGGCCCCTCTGGGGGCTCCCAGTGCTACCCAGGGAACAGCCCTGGGGCAGCTGCTGGATCCCTGCCCCTGGAAGAGGCCTGAGGCCATCACCACCGAGAACTACAGGGTGAGCAGCATACAGATGTCCCCCAACCCCACAGAGCGTGCTCCCCTGAGACCTCCATCCCTTGCAACTCCCTCTGGGCCACCCTACCAGCCCTCAGAAGTCCTGGCCCCTCTCTGTCTTCAGCAGGACCTCCTGTCCTGGGGACATCGCAGCCCTGGCCCTGGGATCCCTTCCTAGGACCAGACAGCCCAGACCACCTGTCCCCCGCTACTTCCAGGGCTGGCAGAGAATGGGACCTTCCCGCCCCCCTCCTCCCGCTGACAGCCTCTCTGCTAACACTGCAGAGAGCAGCAGCTTCTCTCTTAGAAAAGAGGGACAGAACTGTCCCTCTCTCCCCAGGCAATTTGCAAGGACCTTTGAGATCAGACAGAAGGAAAAGGGAGATACAGCAAGAGATTCAGGTCGGGTTTTCTGACATGTGGCAGTTTCACCTGGGGTGATGCCAAGTACCTAGGACATATGCATGTGTCCGGGCCAGGGACAGAGCAGGGGACTGGGCCACCTGGAGGTTGATCACCTGGTTTGGGGGGGCAGCTTCTGGCTGTTTCCCTCACTGGTCTGAGCCCCAGAAGCAGCAGGGGCCTGCATAGAGGAAGGGGGCTGAGCTGGGGAGACCAAGCTTGCCCCATGAGGCCTGTCCACAGCCCCATAGCAGCTCTTCTGGAAGCCCTGGCTCTGGCCTGGGGTCAGCAGCAGAGGTAGAGGGAAGCCGCCTCGAGCTGTACCTGGAGGGAGGACAGAGGCCCCGAGCTGCTCCTGGAGGGAGGACAGAGGTCCTGAGCTGCACCTAGAAGCTGGAGGGCTGGGAAGAGGCATCTGAATCAGGGTTGGGGTGGGGTGCTCAGGAGCTTTCCCTGCCTCTGTGCCTCACTTAGCTCAGATGCCCACTGGGTGGTTGCCAGGCCTCCCGCTGAAGTTCAGAGAGGGGCAGAGGCTTGCCCGAGATGGCAGGACAGGGTAAAGTGCCTTCAACAGAGCAAGGGGGGCCTCCACTTGGCACTGACCCATCCAGAAAATGGGCCCATAAACTTTGCCTGTCCTCCCATAGGCCCTGCCCTGTGGGAGGGGCCTCCGCAGATAGGCGGAGATCCTGTGTCCCCTGTTTTCAGCCAGCATTGACTGAGCCCTGTACTGGGCAAGGTGCTGAGTGCTTCTCCTACAGCGCCTCCTGGAGTCTCCACTGGGACCCAGAGATGTAGGTGCAGTTCCCAGTCCAATTTGACAGGTGAGGAAACTGAGGCCCTGCGTGGAGCCCTGGTCCAGGGTCACCCAGAAAGCCCTCTCTCTGGGGTCACAGCGAGGACTACCAAACCGCCCCCCCCCAGGTCAGAGACCGAGTCACTAAGGGCCAGGAGTCCCGGCCACCTCCACGTCAGTCTCGTGCCATCCACCTGAGCACCTCTAGTGACAAGCACTGGGGACAGAGTGGGTGTTTCTCCCATCCCTGCAGTTCCTGTCCCCTCCTCCCCTCGCAGCTCCCAGATGCTCATCGCTCTGTACCCTGGAAGTGGGTGTAGTGACCGGTCAGACATGGGATCAGAGCTTGCCCCTGCCATCCGCAGGGCTCAAGCCCGTCAGTTAATCCCTCTGAGCCTCAGTTTCCTGACGTGCAGAATGCGGGTGACGGTCGTGTTTATCTCGCGGGGCCGTGCTGAGGACCGGACGCGCTCCCACGGCTTCACACAGTGCCCGGCTGCGGCGAGCGCTCGGCCAGCAGCGGTCACCGCAGCGGGTGGTAACCCAGAGTCTTGGAGCCTGATGACCCGGGGATGGCCAGGGTGAGGGCGTGGGCCCAGATGAACCCTGAAGACCCTCCCTTGGGACACTGGCTGCTCCAGCCACCCCACCACCACCACCTCTACATCTCCGGGGTCCTTTATGAATTACCTACCAGTGGGGGCAGAGCCCCAGTCCTTAGAGACCAAGGTGCACCTGTCCTCCTGCTGAGGGCCCCTCAGGCCTACCCCACACCGTGTCTTGTCCCCTCCCCATTGGGAAAGCTGACGGGGTGAAAGTCTGAGAAGAAGTGAGCCTGGCGGGCAGGAGGCTGGGGAGATGACTGGTCTGTCCCCAGCTTCTCCTAATCCCTTGTGCTCCAAGCCTGCCCAGAGTCTGCCGAGGGTCTGAGAAGGTGTCCTGGGGGTCAGGACAACTGCCCCTGGACCCCTGCCTCCTCAGCATTGGCCCCTCTCCCTGGGGGTCTTAGCAAGGCTTTGGGGCTGGGATGTTGAGGTGATGTGAGCGCTCCACCTTTCAGAAGACTCTTGGGGGTGCCAAGGTGAAGGTCAGCTCCTTGGGATTGCCAGGGACAACCTACCAGGCTCCTTGACCCTGAACTGCGCGCACATGGAGACAGCCCACCCACAGCCGCCCCTGGCCTGCACCAGCCCGTGTGAACTTCTCAAATATTTGCTTTCTCTGGGCACTGGCTGGGCTGGGAGGAGAGGGAGTTTCTCAGGCTGTCAGAAGCTGTCCTGTCTCCTGTCCATCCCTGCAGGCTGTCCTCAGCTGGAGAAGCCATCTCGAACCTACCCTTGGCTTCCAGTCTGGCAGAGCCTCCTTCTGAAGCCTTGAGGCCTGGGGTCTCTGCCTTTCGTGTTTCCCCAGCACCAAGCGCCCCAGCCTACATGGAAGGGAGACGCCCTCTGGGGCCAGGGCTTTGCTGGCCCTGGGCTCCCCTTTAAGCATCCAGGCCACCACAGGGCCCTCAGGCCAGAGCCGAGGTTTCTCCGGGACCCAGCCACCATGGGAGGGCGCATTAACCAGAAAAGCCCCTTGATCAGACTGGACAACTTGGTCGCCAAGAGCCCAGCCTCCCCACTGGGAAACCCCCTCCCAATTCAGAGCTTTGGGCCAGACTGGGATAAAGGCCACACTGTGTCCCCAGGAGGGGAGGGGTACTGGGGGTGGAGAAAGGTGGCTCTGTTGGCCACACAAGGCCCCATTCAGCCTGGGGCCTGGCTGTCCTGGGCAGGCTGGCTGGGCCCTGGAGCAGTCACAGCTCCCCGGGCCTGGGAGCCACTGCTGCCGGCCTGGGATGGATGGGTGTCCGGGCCAGTAGCAGCTTCCGGGGCCCGGGGTGGGGGGACCCCCAGAGGCCCCAGTTTGAGACCAGCATCCCTGAGCCCTGCTGGAGCACACTGGCCCTCTGCCCCCACCTTGCTGTGTGGACTACCCCCTGTGTCCACAGGGACATGGTTCCCATCATGCAGTTCAGCCCAGAGTCCCTACCAGAACCCAGGGGAGCCCTGAGGGGACAGAACCTGCCGTTTATTGTTTCTGTCTCCCCTGATGGAGGATGTAGGCCGAAACGGTGGCCACTGTAGACTGTAGGCCAGGCTTCCTATCAGGGAGGGAGGGATGAGCAAAGGCAGTCGTTCCCATGGCCAGGCCTTCCTTATGCCCCCATGGCTCTGTCCTTGGTCCTCTGTTATCCCAGAAGGCCCAGGAGCCTCCGTCTCCATGGTGGCAGGGCCACTGTCTCAGAAACTGCCCAGAATCCTGACAGAGGCAGGTAGGGAGCCCAGCCCAGGTAGAGCCTTGCAAGCCTCCTCAGTCTCATTACCTCTCCATCTCCTCTGCAGAGCTCCTACCCCATCTGGGAGGACTTCAACTCCAAGGCCACGAAGCTGCATTCCCAGCTGAGGTGAGGCTCCTGAGGGTGCCCCCACTGGGGAGGGGACGGGCAGAGGAGAGGACACCTCACCCACAGACTGTCCCACTGTCCATCTCCCCAGGACCACTGTGCTGGCTGCTGTGGCCTTCTTGGATGCCTTCCAGAAAGTGGCAGACATGGCCACCAACACCCGAGGTGGGGAGGGGGCGTGGCTGGAGGTTGGGTCTGCCCCAGGTTGGGCTTGGAGGCTGGAAAGGCTGAGCGAAATGTGAGCCAGGGAGAGGACACTGGGCCGAGAGTTGGGGCCCTGAATTCTGCTCCCTAATAGAATAGGCTGGTCGTGGAGAGAGTGAGCCTCTTCTCACTAAGGGCATGCAAGCAGGAGTGGGCGAACGGTGATAGGGATGTTACAGCGGAGGTTCCTCAATCAGCTCGATCCCTCTGCCACAGTGGTTCAGCCTTCTGTACACTGCGTCTGACCATGGCTGCTTCTTACCCCCGCTGTCATCTGTCCGTCTGAGAGCACGCAGGGGCAGCCAAGCCCCTGTTGGCCTTGGCGTCTCCTCTGCCTTCTAGTTCAAGTAGCAAGGACCCGGGACCCTGAGAACCAAGATAGCGGGCGCTTGCTCGCACTCTCACACCTGCCTCTGGGCATCCGGAGGGGGTTCCCGCCAGGGCTGGAGGGTATTTGGGCAGGCCCTTCCGATGGTCTCTCGTGCTGGCCTGACCACCAGACCACCCGCAGCTGCAGCAGGCGGGCACGGCCGGGTTGGGTAGGGCCTTGGTCCCGCACGGAGAGTCTCAGCAAATACTGAGAACCGACCAAATCCCCCCTCAATGGATCGCGGGATCCCAGCGCGGGATCGCGCAATGCTGGGGGCGGGGCACGGGCTGCGAGCTCGGTCTTCGCGGGCCGGTGCGCCCCCTCGTGGCCGAGGCTGGGACTGCCGATGCCCCAGCGGGCCCCTTCCCAAGCTGCGCACTTGCCTCGCCAGGGGCCACCCGGGACATTGGCTCGGCGCTCACGCGCATGTGCATGCGCCACCGCAGCATCGAAACCAAGCTGCGGCAGTTCACCAAGTGAGTGGGCGCCACGGGCGGGCGGGCAGGGGGGCGCAGGGAGACCCCGCTGGTGGCCCTGACCCTCCCGCGCCTCCCACAGCGCGCTGCTGGAGAGCCTCATCAACCCGCTGCAGGAGCGCATCGAGGACTGGAAGAAGTCGGCCAACCAGCTGGACAAGGACCACGCAAAAGGTAGGCCCTGGGCTGGGGCCAGGGCTTCCTGCCCCCGTTGTGCAGAGCACACACACCCCACCCCCCGCCCCCCGCCCCATCATAGCACTCCTCTCTCACCCCATGTGCAGAGTACAAACGAGCCCGGCATGAGATCAAGAAAAAGTCTTCAGACACGCTGAAGCTGCAGAAGAAAGCACGCAAAGGTAGAGCCCACAGCGGCCCATGGACGCGTAGCCCCACGGGGCCCCACTCCATACCCCCCACACCCTATGGGGTGCCCCAGGGAGTCATCCTGGCTGGAGGGACCCTATCCTGGACAAGACCCTCCAACCTGCTGGGTGGGACAGAGGGAGCCTCTCTGCACCCCAGACCTGGCCCAGGCCCTCCCCTCTCAGGGAGGCAGCAGGAGGCCCCACAGGCCCAGGCACCCACACCCCTGCCCCAGGAGTGGCTCTTTCCATCCGGCTGTCTTTCACACATTCTTTCTTTCTCTGTCTCTCCTCCTCTTCTCCTCCCACATCCTTCCTGTAGAGCTACTTGGTAAGTCAAATGTCCGTCCCTCCAGCTGCTCCTCCCGTCCTTGTCCCATTTGTCTGTCTCCCCCAGCTCAGGGCCATTGGAAGGAGCCTCTCCAGGCCAAGGAGGAGCGAGGAAGGCGGTCGGTCCATCGAGGGAGGGGCCCGGGGCACAGTCCCCCTGGGGCCCCGGGGGCCCCTGGCCAGGGATGAATCCCAGGCCACTGCTGGGTCAGTCTGCCAGGCCAAGAGGGGTTGGAGTGGGCAGGGTGGGGGGCACAGGCCCTGGCTACCCCCTCCCACCAGGCCTGCCCCATTACCTGTTGCCTTCTCACTTCCTGTCTCACCATCTCTCCATCATCCTCTTGCCTCTCTCTCTCTCTCTCTCTCTCTCTCGCTGCTGCTTTGTGTCGCTGTTGCTGTCCTTGTGCACCACTCCCTGAGCTGAGTGGGAGCCCACACTGAGAAAACCCCCTTCCCTTCCCCAGGGGCCCAGCCCCTAGTTCTCCTGGCCCCTCACCCCTCAGTGGGCTGGTCTACAGCTGAGCCCTCTGGCTCTACTTTGTCCTCCACCCACCCTTTTCCTGTGCCCGGTGAGGTGAGGGGGTTCTGGCCCAGAGGCAGTGAGGGTACCGCCAGGGCTGGAAGTCTCAGCTGTGGAGGCCTCTGCTGGACTCACACGTGCTCCCGGGGTGGCTCCCAGTGGGCTCCGCCCACTCCAGTTCCCGGGTGGCTTTGCAGCTTTGGTGTCTTTCCTGTGTGTGTGTGTCTGTCCTCTCTGCCTGCTCTGGGACCAGCCCCGGCACAAGCCCCGGAGTCCTGGCTGCCCTCCCCAGTCCCCGGACCCCTGTGGCAGTGCCCAGCCCCACCTCCAGGGATGGACCACGGGGCCTGAGCCACACACGCGGCGAGCCGGGCGGCGTCCCCAGCGCGGCCTCTCCTCCCCGCCCCTCCAGGGAAAGGAGACCTGCAGCCTCAGCTGGACAGCGCCCTGCAGGATGTCAACGACATGTACCTGCTGCTGGAGGAGACCGAGAAGCAGGCGGTGCGCCGGGCCCTGATCGAGGAGCGCGGCCGCTTCTGCACCTTCATCACGTTCCTGCAGCCTGTGGTGGTGGGTCCCTCAGAATCCGCGCTGTTCTCAGCATCCCTGACGTTGGGCTAGTTGAAGGGTCTCCAAGAACCCGAGGAAATCCCAAGAGTCAGGATTTGGGAGCCGCTGCTGGGAGTCCTTCTGGGTGACTCAGAGGCCCCAGGAGGTGGGACCGGGCTCAGGGTTGATCCCGCGACCTCTGAGAAAGGCCGCGGCTCAGTCATCCCTGCTGCGTCTTCAGAGCCGCGTGCTCACCGCCCAAAGGCAGGTCTCGTAGCTCGTGATGCGATAATTCAGGCTGGACCTATGGTCACAGTGGCCCCAGGGTGTCTGGTTCCAGCCTCCGTCAGGCCTGAGCAGCGCTGGGTGAGAGGGGAGAAGCCAGGGGAGGCCCGTCCCTCCAGGGTGGGGGGCATGGGCAGGGCCGGTGGGTCTGACCCGCGGCTTCCCCAGAACGGCGAGCTGACCATGCTGGGAGAGATCACACACCTGCAGGGCATCATCGACGACCTGGTGGTGCTGACGGCCGAACCCCACAAGCTGCCCCCCGCCAGCGAGCAGGTGCGGCCAGGCCTGGGGCTGGGGACAGGGGTGGGGATGGCCCGCCCTTGGTTGGGGACAGTAGAAAAAAAAAGAGGACAGAGGACCAGACACATCCTAACACGCACTGTGGGACATCCAGGAGCACCTGCTCTGGGGAGGGATGGTGTGCCCAGGACCCAGTGGGAGCCTCAGTCTGAGAGCAGAAGTAGGGAGGTCCCATGGCACTGGCCCTGTGTCTGCCCCCAGGCTCCCCCTGAATAAGCCAGACTTGGTGACGCTTTCCTGTCATCTATAGCCAGAACCTGTCCCCTCCCCCTGGTCCGAGGCACACAGACACACCTGCACACACTTGCCACCCGCTCGGCTCACCACCATGCTCCCACTGCACGAGGGGAGGTCCTCCCCGACAGGCCCGTGACGTTGCTCTCACCCGGCATCTACCGTGTGCCCGGCACTCTCCCAGGCACTTTCTACACCATCCCATTGAACCCTGCCCCCACACACCAATGGCCCTGCAAGACAGGAACCACGGGCTGCTCACAGGGCCACTGAGGTTCCAGGAACTTGCCTGAGGGGCACAGCAGAGCTAAGATTTGAGCCCCACGGTGTCTCTCATGGTCACTCTTTGGGCTGCTCTGCCAGGACAGTGAGTCCCCAGGGACACTTGGTTCTCCAGTGGCTACCCCCCAGGAGGGGGCAGCATCCCTGAGAAGTGGGGTGGGTGTGGGGGTGCAGAGTCTCCCTTGATGTTCCTCTTCCCCCTCCTCTGGCAGCCCTGCTTTCAGACTCCCGGGAGGGTCTCTTGCCGAGGCTTGGCTCTCAATATGGAAGAGAGTGGGGGGCTTCTGGCCCTACCAGACCTCTGTGGAGGCCCCCAGAACACAATAAGGGTCTTTGCAGAGGAAGGCTGCCTCCGGTGACCCCGTCCCTGTCCCTGTCCAGGTGATCAAAGATCTGAAGGGCTCGGACTATAGCTGGTCCTACCAGACGCCCCCATCGTCGCCCAGCGGCTCCGGCTCACGGAAGTCCAGCATGTGCAGGTCAGTGCAGGTTGGACAGGGTTGGGGGGGCGAGGCCGGGAGGTGGGGGCCCCCAAGGAGAGAATGGGGGAGCTCCCAGCAAAGCTGCATCAAGAGCTGCTTCCAGGCCCCAGAATTCACACAAGTGCATCACAGAGGAATTTGCGTGCAAGCACGGAGGACAGACGTACCTGTGTGTCGAGGCTGCTGCCCGCGCACGAGTGTGGTAGCAGGAAGCGGGGTGGCGGGGGCAGGAGCAGCTTCCTTTACAGAGCAGTCACGGTGTGCCAGGGGCCATGCTAAGTGTTTTATGCGTTTTCTTCACTGAATCCTAACACCACCGTATCAGGTATGGTGTTATCTCCATTTCACTGAAGGGGAAACTGAGGCCTGGGTTGTGGCATTGCACAACTGTTGGCAGGTATGGAGGGATAGTAAGAATCTAAAATCAGGGAGGGGCACAGATGCTTCTGGGAAGGTGTGCTGAGGCCCCACAGGAAGGGACACTCCGACCTGGCTGGTTCCTGAGCTCTGGTTCCTGGCCACTGCCTCTTGCCCGAACCCCAGCCCATGCTGGCCCCCAGAATCTCGTTCGATCGTGGTGCAGGCTCAGGTTCAGGGACACCTCCAGGGCTGGCGCTAGGACAGCAGCATTTGGAGGAGACATCTAAGATTCAAGGTTCCTTAGTGGGGAGGGCAGTGAGCACAGAGTGAGTTACTGGTGGGACAGGCCCCTCTGTCCCAGGCTCCCCTTCCCCAGAACCACCTCTGGGCACCTGGGCAAGGAGGTAAGCCGGGCATGGCCATCAGCAGCTCCTATGGAGGGAGGGGGCCCAGGTCTGTTGGACCTCAGGTAGGTGTCTGTCACAGCAGGAAGGGTTGATGGCAGAAGACACCTGTGACCCAGGGTGGGGGCTGGGTAACTTCAGCATCTCGTTCAGAAAGAAGGCCGCCTTCACTGGCCAAGCGTGAAGTGGTTGCACAGAGGGTGTGAGCTACGGAGGGCTAGACACAGTCAAGGGGGTGGAGGGGATGAGGACAATGGTGGGTCCAGGACTCACACAGATGGTCACCGCAGCCTAGATACCCAGTTAGGATTTCATGGCAAAAATCAGACTTTGAGGAGGCAATCCAGAAACAGACTTGTGTTGGGTTCTGGCCCAAATGGGCCAGGGTTTGATGCTTTGTGACTCGGTTGTTAATGGCAAAGTAGGAAGCAGAGTGACTGCTTGGCCCTAGGGATGCCCTGGAACCCTGGGGTTCTCCAGGGGCAGGTGCTGGGCCAACCCTTGGGTGTGGTCTCCTGCCCACTCCTACCCCCCCCCACCGACCCACAACCCTACTCTTCTGTGGCACCCAGGTCTCACAACTTGTAGTCTGACATTGTCTTTTCCTTCCTTTGCCCCTCACCTCTTTCCTCCACCCTCGTCTGTCACCCTCTCCTCCACACGCACCCTTGTGTCTCCTTTTCTGGCCGCTGTCCCCCTCCCTGACTCCCCCAGTGCCCCCAGCAGCAGTAGCGGTGCCAAGGGTGGCGGAGCCCCGTGGCCTGGGGGTGCCCAAACATACTCACCCAGTTCCACCTGTCGCTACCGCAGCCTGGCCCAGCCAGCCACCACGGCCGCCCGCCTCTCCAGCGTCTCGTCCCACGACTCTGGCTTTGTCTCCCAGGACGCCACCTACTCCAAGCCCCCCTCACCCATGCCTTCCGACATCACCAGCCAGGTGAGGAGTGTCTGCAGGGCCTGCAGCTGTTGAAACAGGCCTGGAGGTCCCCAGGATCCCCTCACCGGGGACCAGCCTGGCTACGGAGAGGTGGAGAAGGTTAGAGCCACCTGCATGGGCCACAGAGGCATCAGCCGGGGGCTTTTGTGGCCCCACTTTCTCACCGTTTCCTGATTCCCTACCTCATGCCTTCTTCCAGCCATGGGAGCCCTGAGGGGGCTGCTTAGCAGCTCTGATCCCTTGTGACCCTCCCCCTCTAGAGGCTTACTGTGATGGGGTGGTTGGCCCTAGGAGTCATCCCCTGGAGCCCCACAAATCTCCCCAGAAGCAGGCTTAGATCCTGCAGCCTCAGTGAGATGGGCAAACAGAGGGAACACAGTAGAAGACAAAAGAACATCAGGCTGCCTGCCCAGAGGGCTATCCTCAGGGTGTCAGGAGTGACTGCATTTGGATCCAGTCTGCTATTCCTCCCCATCTAGGCTAGTGCCTCCATTTGGGCTTAGTATTTTAAGTTTTGGGTTTTTTGCTCAAGGATATCCCCATTACACTTTCAGTCTCTCTCCCTGTGCTGGCTCATTCCCATCAGTAACACAAACAAGCTCTAGCATCATGCATCTTAAAAGCTCTCCCTTCCCCCCATGTTATCCTCCAACCACCTAGTATCCTTCACAGCAGAACTTCTCGAAAGAGTTGTCTGCCCTGACCATCTCTACCTCATTTTCCATTCACTTCTGTCTGCTTCACCTATGTCTAACTGACAAATTTTAGATTTGTTCATTTCTCCCGTATAGTTCCATGAGCGTTTGCTGTGCGCATTTTGAGACTCTTTGATTAAGTGCGCACACGTTTAAAATGTCAACTTTTCGTGGTGACTTGAATCTTCTAACATGATGTAGTTGATCCTTTGTTCCTTATAATGCCTTTCATCTTAAAGTTTCTTTTGTTGGATGTTACTACAGCTATCTCAGCTGTATTCTGTTCAAGACTTATATTATTTTCTCCATCTCTTGGCTTTTAAACTCACTGTATCTTTATGTTTCAGTTGAGTCTCCTAAAAGAGCAGATGCTTAGGTTTTCTTTTATACAGGTTGACAATCTCTATCTTTTCGTGGGTATTTTTAGTCCATTTATATTTATTGTGATGACTGACATATTTGGACTCCTGTCTTTTTTCTTTTTATTCATTCTGCTTTTTCTTTGCCTCTTTTTTCTCTTCCCTTGCCACTTGTTTTTCTTTTTCCCAGTTGTTCCCCCTGCTAGATTGTAAGTTATACTGTGTTTCTTTTCTTTTACAGAGTACCTTGAAATTTTACCATACACCCTTACAAAGGGTCTCACTTCCTGAATAATTCAAGGATCTTAATCATTATTTTAACTTGGTCACCCACTTCTTCCCAACTTATAAGCTATTACATGTTACTCTCTATTTTTTTTTATAACACTCACAAATGACATTTTTTTCCTGAACTTCACTATCATTTCACACAGACAATATTTGTCTCGATTTCTCCATGTGTTTACACATTTCTTCATTATTTCTTCTTGCACCTCAAGTCTTCTTTTGAAGTATAGCACTTCCTTTAGAAGTTCTTTTTTTTTTTTTTTAAGATTTTATTTATTTATTTGACAGAGATCACAAGTAGGCAGAGAGGCAGGCAGAGAGAGGTAGAAGCAGGATCCCTGCTGAACAGAGAGCCCAATGCAGAGCTCAATCCCAGGACCCTGGGATCATGACCTGAGCGGAAGGCAGAGGCTTTAACCCACTGAGCCACCCAGGCTCCCCCCTTTAGAAGTTCTTTTAGAATAGATCTGTAGTAGTAAATTCTTGAGTTTTGTTTTTCTGTAAACATGTGTCATTTTGTCATCTTTCTTGAAAGTTTTGCCAGGGACACGATTCTGAGGTAGTAGTTATTCTCTCTCCACACTTGGGTATTTTTCCAATGTGTGTTTTGGCTTCTGTCATCGGTTGAGAGGTCTGCTGTCCGTCAGATTGTTGTTCCTTTGTGAGTGAGCTTACTTTGCTCCCTGGTCACTTTGAAGATCTTTGCCCTTTAGTTTGTGTCTAGTTGCAGTTTCGTTTTTACATAGCCTCATTTGATATGTTTGTGTACCTCCCTCTTTGTATTCTTGTCTTTCATATGTTCTGGAAGTTTTCAGCCATTATTTATGTATTCCTACTTTCATTCTTGCTATTGGCTCCCTCTGAGATTCCAATTCTGTGTGTTGCGAAACCTTCTCATTTATTCTGCTCTGTATCCTTCTCTTAATTCTCACACTTTCCTTCTCCTCCCTTCTCTAGACGATGTTCTGGATCATTTATTCAGGGCTGTCTTCCAGTTTCCTTTTTCTCCATGTCACAGGAACTTAACCTCTCCATTGAGGCTTTTTTCCAACTTGGTATTTTGAAATAACTTCAGACGTGTAGGAAAGTAGTCGAAAGAGTACAGACTTCTCACCTACCCCTCCCAAGCCTCCCCTGATGTTAACCCCTCATGTAGCTACAATACTATTGACGAACCTAAGGTCTTTTCTCAAATGTTGCCTGTTTGTCTGGCCCGGGAGGGCAGGATCCGGCCCAGGACCCTGCGTCACAGTTAGTTGTCAGATCTCTTGTGGCTCCTCAAATCCGTGGTGGTTTTTCAGTCCTTCTTTCCTGACTTTGGTACTTTTAATACTTTTGATACCAGTCAGCTGTTTCATCTGTCGGTTTGGGTGTGTCTGGTGTCTTCCCATAATTAGACTGAGGTCCCACATTTCTGGCAAGACTCCTGTAACAGTGGGGGGGTGGCTGCTCCTCGTCCTCACCAACCCTTGGTGATTTTACATCTTTTTCATTTTAGCCATTCTGGGGGAAACATCTGGTAGTGCCCTGTGTTTTTAATGTGCAGGTCACTGATGAGGAATGAGGTTGAGCACCTTCTCAGGCCACTTGGCTGTCCTCTTTTCTGAAGGACCTGTTCACGTTTTTGCCCGTTTTTCTACTAGGTGGGTTTTTTTTTTTTAAGATGTTATTTATTTATTTGACAGAGATCACAAGTGGGCAGAGAGGCAGGCGGGGTGGGGGTGGGGGGAAGCAGGCTCCCTGCTGAGCAGAGAGCCCAATTCGGGGCTCGATCCCAGGATCCTGGGATCATGACCTGAGCCGAAGGCGGAGGCTTAACTCACTGAGCCACCCAGGTGCCCCGGTTTTTGTTTTTGTTTTTGTTTTTGTTTTCTTATTAATTCCTTGGACTTCTTGTATATTAGGGATACAACTCCTTCATCTGAGATCTCTGATTCTGTGGGTTCCCTTTTTACTCTCTTAATGGAGTCTTTTAATGACCTAAAATTCTTAATTTTAACGGATGTACAGTTTGTTCCACTTACTCATTTTTTACATTGTGCTTCTTGCATTCTGAGCCTCGTTTGCGCACTCCAAAGTCACAAAGATATTTCCCTAGAAAAGTCTTTCTCTTTTACCCAGATCTGCTCCTCATCAGGAATCGCGTATGTGTGCGCGCGTGTGTGTAATATGAGGTGGGGGTCATTTTTCCACACAGATATCTAATTGGCAAGTTATTGAAGAGGCCGTGTCTTACCCCCACTGCACTACAGTGTCACCTTTGCCATAAATCAGGTGTTATCTACATACCTGTAGCCGTTTTGGGAGTCTGTATTCTGTCTGTTGGTTGATTTGTGTTCTCATACCAGGACCATACCACCTTAATTATTGTCATTTTATACAAAACTTTGATACGTGCTAACAGAAATCTTCCAGCTTTGTTATTTTTTTTTAAAGATTTTATTTATTTATTTGACAGAGATCACAAGTAGGCAGAGAGACAGGCAGAGAATGAGGAGGAAGCAGGCTCCCCGCCAAGCAGAGAGCCTGATGTGGGGCTCGATCCCAGGACCCTGGGATCATGACCTGAGCCGAAGGCAGAGGCTTTAACCCACTGAGCCACCCAGGCGCCCCCAGCTTTGTTATTCTTAAGTATGCCCTTGTCTATTTTTGGCCCTTCGCAATTCCTTGTTTCCCTTAATGTCAGCTGGTCAGTTCCCCTCAAAACAACAGTAACAGCAGCTCCTGGAGTTTTGACCGGGGATTGCTCATGTCTCCATTTAGTTTGGCTTTTGCTTCTCTCGGTGATGTTTCGTAGTTTGCACGTAAAGGTATTCCACATCTATCACTGGATTTTTTTTTTTTCGGGATATTTGATATTTATTGATGATGTTTTATTTATTCATTTTAAAGATTACTTATTATTTACTTACTTATCTGAGTAAGCGGGTGGGAAGGGGAGCAGGAGCGGGACAAGCAGACTCCACGCTGAGCGCAGAGCCTGATGTGAGGCTGGACCCCATGACCCTGAGATCGTGACCTGAGCCAAAATCAAGTCAGATGTTCAACCGGCTGAGCCACCCAGGCGCCCCTGTTGATAGTATTTTAAATTATATTAGCTCCTTAGGGGTTTTTTTTTGTTTGTTAGCTGCTGATATTTAAAATTTTGGTTTTTTCCTTTGGCATATTAATCTTATATTGAATAATTTTATTAAAGTCGCTTATCTGGTAACTGTGGACTCGTGAGAATTCTGCATATACAACCATCACGTTTTTGATGAGTAATGACTGCTTTTTTCTTCCTTGCCAATCCCTTTGCTTTCTGCTACTTCTTGCCTCACTGCCCTGCTAGGATTCCCAGTACTGAGCAGAAATGGTGATTGTAGGCATCCTTCTCTCTTTCCCACCCTCCAAGGGAAATATATTCGTATTTGTCTAGACACTCTTTATTATCAGATTAAGGAAGTTTTTTCTATCCCCAGTTTAAGTATTTGTTCATGAATTAATATTGAATTTTTCCACGGAGTGTTCCTAATCCTTTTTCTCTTGGTTTTTGTTTGCTTTCACAATTATATTGGTAAATCCACGTTTGTTTCTTGTTTCATCAAAGCCTCACCTGTGGTGCTTTATTTTCTTTTATTTTGGTGATCTTGATTCATCATAAACTGTAAAAAATCTGGGGGTCTAAATTAAGGAGAATTTGAAGAATTTGACAGGGCAGGCACGGTACAAATAATGGACCCTTTGCACGCCTCTTGCTGGACCCTTAATTCGGGCCATGGCAGGGCTTGCCCTTCACCTTAGCCCTTCCCCAGTCTCCCAGTCACTGTATTGCTCTCAGCATGTGCCTCAGGGAGTCCTCATGGTCCTACGTCCGCCCTGGCTGCTGCTTTGGTCTTCATTCTTGTGCTTCTTTTGAGTTGGGGGCTTCCCAGGCCACCTGATCCCTGCACCAGCCCCGAGCAGGAGTCTCCCCTGCACACATGGTCCACTCAAAAGTGGACTCCCAGCCCCCACCATTCTGTGACCTAGTTCTTGAAGTCTCCAGGGAGGCCTCTGTGCCCTCATCTGAGAGACCCCTAGCAGCGTTCGCGCCGCTGCCTGTCCCTCTTCCGCGGGGCAACTCCTTCTGAGTTCTGTAACATCGTCTGCTGCTGGTTTTCTTCCCACTTCTCTGGCAGCTCCTTGCTCCTCCTCTTGGCTGGACCCTCCTCTTCCCAGTCACTGACTGTGGGCCTGCCTGGGTCCTTGTACCTTCTCTCTAACGGCCCCTGCTGCCGGGGTGACCTTACTCGTCTCATGGCTGTGGACTGGTGGCTGCTACCCTTGTCTTCTCCCTCAACTCCAGACCTGTAAATGCGGTTGCCTGCGTCGCATCTGTGTGTGGACAGCAGACAGGCAGCTCCGCTCTGCGCGTGCAGGATGGAGCTCCGGATTCCTTCCTTCCCACAGGCGTGTTCTTCTGACACAACAGGGACGCCATCGATTCCTCCGCCCTCCCTCGTGTCTCTCTTTCCCTGGCCCGCTACATCCAGGCCGTGGGCAGCAAGTCCTGTTGTGAACTCTCACTACCTCTGGCTCTTGGGCTGGGCTGCGGAGTCGGCCGGTGCCCGCCGTGTGCACTCAGGGTGCTGAGATCTGCTGCAGACGCTCGCAGGGGTGGCGGGGTGGGGCACCGAGCCGGAGCGCCCCGCTGCATGCCGGCGCTGTGACCAGGTCTGTTCTCTCCTCTCCTCCTGGCCTCCCCGCCCCGTCCGCCCGCCTGCTCGCCTCTGCATGGCAGAAGTCCTCCAGCTCTGCGTCCTCAGAGGCCTCGGAAACCTGCCAGTCCGTTAGCGAGTGCAGCTCCCCCACCTCGGTCAGTGCTCCCCACCTGCAGTGGGACGCAGGGAGGGTCCAGGGTCAACCAGCGGGGGGTGCACACCGTGCCTGTTCCCCACAGGAAAAGCCGCCTGGGCACACCTGCAGCCACTCCCAACCCACATCTTTTCCTCCTGGGACATGCTATCCTACCCCTGGGCCTGGAGGGACTGAGGGGTCATGGTACCCTCCATGCTCTGTCCTTGGCCATGATCATGGGCCTGACCCCCATATGGGCCTGAAAACCCTGAACCTCAACAATAGTGAGGGGACCCATCACTGCGGATGACAGGGCCAAGGGCCCCCTGACCCATCCGCTGCCCCCTGCAGGACTGGGCCAAGGCGGGCCCCCACGAGCAGCCCTTGGGCACCAGCCTGCAGCGGAGAAAGGATCGAGCGGAGCACCCCCGAGACACAGAACCAGGCCTGGCCAGCGGGGGTGCCCTGGGCCCCAGCAGCGAGGAGGCACCACGACCCCGCATGTCCCCTGCCACCATCGCAGCCAAGGTAGGTGCCAGCTCTCCGGCAGCCCAGCCGGGGCCCCACCTTCACTCCCAGGTCCGTACGTGAAGGCCCAGCAACTGGTGTCAGGGCCAGCCCTGGCTTCTTGGCGGGAGCCACCTGGAATCCGGGCTGAGGGGGGGCAGCGGGGAGCCCGGCTTCAGCCTGCAGTCTTCCCACCCCCAGCACGGCGAGGAGGTGTCCCCTGCCGCCAGTGACCTGGCCATGGTGCTGACCCGCGGCCTGAGCCTGGAGCACCAGAAGAGCAGTCGGGACTCGCTGCAGTACTCCAGCGGCTACAGCACGCAGACCACCACGCCCTCGTGCTCCGAGGACACCATCCCGTCCCAAGGTAGGCCCTGGGGCCGGGGCCGGGGCGGATCAGCCGGCCTTCCGAGCCCCGGCCCACCGCATCCCGTGTCACCAGGCTCCGACTACGACTGCTACTCCGTGAACGGGGACGCAGACGGCGAGGGCCCGGCCGAGTTCGACAAGTCATCCACCATCCCCCGCAACAGCAACATCGCCCAGAACTACCGCCGCCTGATCCAGACCAAGCGGCCGGCCTCCACGGCGGGGCTGCCCAGCGCCTCGGGCGCGCCCCCCGGCGTAGCCACCATCCGCCGCACGCCGTCCACCAAGCCCGCCGTGCGCCGCGCGCTCTCCAGCGCCGGCCCCATCCCCATCCGGCCGCCCATCGTCCCCGTGAAGACGCCCACCGTGCCCGACTCCCCCGGCTACGCGGGGCCCACGCGGGCGGGCAGCGAGGAGTGCGTCTTCTACAGCGACGAGGCCGCCTCGCCCCTGGCCGCGGACCTGGCCAAGGCCTCCCCGAAGCGGCTGAGCCTGCCCAACACGGCGTGGGCCAGCCCGGCGCCCGAGGCGGCCAGCTACGCCGGGCTGGCGGCGGACGACGACGACGAGCAGCAGCAGCTGGCCGCCAACCGGCACAGCCTGGTGGAGAAGCTCGGGGAGCTGGTGGCGGGCGCCCACGCCCTGGGCGAGGGCCAGTTCCCCTTCCCCACGGCCCTGGCCGCCGCCGCCGCCCCTGCTGAGGAGACGCCCAGCCCACCCCCTGCCGCCTCCGGCGACCCCCCGGCCGAAGACATGCTGGTGGCCATCCGCCGCGGGGTGCGGCTCCGCAGGACCGTCACCAACGACAGGTCTGCGCCCCGCATCTTGTGATGGCGCCGCCCTCCCGCCCCGTGTGACGCAGGTGGCCGGACCAGTGACCCACAGCCGCTCAGAGCAAAGGCACAGCGAGGAGACAGCAGAGCCAGGCAAGCGTTTGGTTTTCTGTTTTTTAAGTCACGTGTGATGGAGAGACACTCATCTTGGATTTCAGCATTTACATGGGAAGTGACTTCTTTAACCAAGCCCGCCAGCTCGGAGCCTGCGGGCCTTGAACTGGATCTGGAGCCTGTTTTACGTTTCCTGCCTGTTCTGCCCCTCCTCTTCCTCCTCCTCAGGCCCTGCCTCTCCCCACCCACGCCCCCCCCGCCCCCACCCACTGGGGGAGCCCTGCTCTGGGCCTGACCTGCCCGGGGCCTCTCCTGGAGACCAGGCGCCTCTCCCTCCTTCCCCTTTGTCTCCCCTTCCAGAGTTCTGTCAGGGAGGCAGGCTGTCTGTGGAGGGGCCCCGCCCCCAGTCGGCTGAGGTGTGAGCTTTGACTGAAAAGCTACCCGGGATGGCGGGGAGCAGGTTGAGGTTGGGAGGCCCAGCCTCCTGTGGAGGGAAGAGGCGCACAGCCCCAGGGCCCTGCGTTGAATCTTGGGGACGTGTTTGGAGAAGGCCATGGCGCCTAAGGTGGCTTCAGGTCCTAGCGTGCCGTCGCTGGGGCAGTGTGGCTGCGGGAGAGGGGCAGGACACAGGGTCCTCTGGCCGGCCCCCCGGGAGCTGCTTTCGGATGTGTGGCCCTCATATGGGCACGTTGAGAATTTAACTCTGGTGGCACTTTGGTCACGGTTTCGGCCACCTTTGGGCATAGGGGCTGGAGCTGGGTAGAGGGTGTGGGGGTTATTTTATGAATATGATAGCAAAAGAGCTGACTAGCCAGGACTGTGTGGTGGGACAGGGTGGACCGTACAGGGTGTCCAAGAGTGCCTGAGGGACAGGGGTCCTCACAGTGGCCCGGTGGGCCCATGGCAGGAGGAGGAGGGCCAAATTGCTTCCTCAAAGCCAGGGGGTAGCTGTTTTTTCCTCCAGTTTCTGGAGCAAAGCCAAAATAAGTTTGGAGAAGGCCAGGTGTTGGGGGTTGGCCAGCACATCTGCTTGGATGGGGCTGGGGTGTAGCCCAGGGAGCTTGGCTTTGACTCTCTGTCGCCAGAGGAGATGCCAACCCAGTGCAGTCCCCCCAGAGTCCGGTCCTGTGCTGGCGGTGGGTGCGGGGTGGGGGTGCCCTCCCCTCCACGTGCTGAGTCCCGCCAACTCGAAGCAGGTAGAAGCAGGTGTGTCTAGGGCGAGTGGAGGGCTTCCTGTTGTCCCGCCGGCCGGCAGCGAGGGTGGCTGGGCTCGGAGGGCAGCGGGACCACAGGGCAGGGGGCCTCCTGGGGTCAGGAGAGCAGGGATTGGGGCTGAGTCTCAGCACCAGGCTGGAGCTACTGGTAGTTCTTGTGCAGGGAACCGGGGTCCAAGCAAGGTAGCCAGGCAGGTCTGGGGCACCAAGGTGGCCCCTGGTGCCTGGAGCCCCCCCCCCCACCCAGGCTCCCAAGGGCAGATGGAGGATGGTATCTGTAAGTTGCTAGGTCTGAGAACAGCCTTGCTGACTGCTCAGGCCAACCCGAGAGCCCAAGTTAGGGCATCTTGAGGGAGGGCCCAGGTGAGGGAGGGCCTGAAGAGGACAGGAGAGCAGATGGCCCGTTGGGGAAGGCGGAGGGTGGGGGGTTTGCGGGCAGGCAGATACATTGCCCTTTCCCCACAGGGCTGTGCTGGCATTTACCCGGGTGGGCTGAGGGAATAAGATGCAGGGTGTGTGATATAAGCAGGGCAAGGAGCAGTGGGGTACGGGGGTGACTTGGGAGGCCCAAGGAGGGGAGTGGGCATGGCAGAGCCACCCCTGAGGCTCAGGCCTCCTCCCCCCCCAAGCCACCCCAGGGCTGTACATAACTCCTCCATCCCCTTGACCGCCTATCTCCCATCTAGTGACCACCTCTTAGGCCCACCCCGTCGGGATCCGAGCCAACCAGCCCGCATCACAAACTTTGGTTTGGGGAACTTCTTTACGTTTGTTTCTTTTCTTTTCTTTTCTTTTTTTCCCATTTTGTACAGAGAAATATTCTTTTCAAAAGCGTCTTTTGACTGAAGTAACTTTTCTGGTGCTGTTGTTAACTTGTTCCTTTTTTTTTTTTTAATTTATTTCCCCACCCGGGTCTCTGCTCCTGGTTCCTACTCAACCTTTCCTGCCTTCCCACCACACTCCCCCTCTCCCCCATCCCATCTGACCCATTTTGTTTCTTTTCTTTCTGTCCGTTTTTGGATAAATTATCCTCTCCTCCCTGCCCCCTCCACCCCCCCTGCCTTGATTTAAATAGTCACTGCTACAAGTAACAAATGCACTGTGAAGATTCCAGTATTAATAAAGTTGTACTGTAATTAACACCCCTGCGTCCACCTGGCTTCCTCCCCGGCTGCTCACCGGCCCCCTGCGGCAGCCGTGCAGCCCCAGCCCCGGCCCACCCCAGATCGGGCCTGGGGCAGGGGCACCCGGGCTCCATGTGCAGGGGGGCAGGAGCAGCCGGGTCTGGTGTCAGGACCTATGCTTTTGAACACCTGCACCCTGTCCCAGGCAGATGGAGCCAGGGAGGGCGACCAGGGGGCACAGAGGAGGGCCGGCCTAACATCCTCTGCCCCTCGGTCTCCGTCTCATTGAGGCCCCGGCAGCTCGGGCAGGTGTGGAAGGAACTCAGGCCCTCAAAGACCATTTCCAGGCCTCCAGGCTAAAGCTTCATCCATTCCAAATCCAAATCTTGAGACCCAGGCCCCAGGGCCCGACCAGCCCACCTGTCTCCTGAGTCCTGGAACTGGAACACGGAGGCCGCGGAGGGGCTCTCAGGCCTCTGGGGTTCATCTTTGCAGATGCAAACCAAACCGAAACAAAACAAGCAAGTGTTTAATAGAAAATATAAGGAACTGGAAGAGCATCCACTGTGGCAAGACGGGGTGTGTGGCCCGGCCCCCTCCCTCCCCGTGCTCGCCCACCTGCGCGGCACAGTTCTCGCCTCTGCAGGCCACAGGAGACACTCGGCAACGCCTCCAGGCCCAGTAGGCAGCCCAGGTGGTGCAGGAAGAGGAGAGACCTCTGTCTCCCTTCAGGTACCCCCAGACCCCCGCTGCTCCAGGGGAGACCAGGTGAGGTACAGAATGCGGGGAGCTGAGCCCTTCTCAGGCACAGAATCCCCTCAAAGGAAAAACACTCTCCTGGGGGTTCCTCTCTCAAGGCGGGTAGGGGGCTCCTCACCACGGCCCAGAGAAGTCTCAGGTTCAACCGAACTGTGGAAGCACCTTGAGCTTCCCCATATGAGTCACCACACGGGCCTCTTGGGGGAAGAGGTCTCTGCCTGTGCCCTCAGCAGCTTCACTGAGCCGGGGGTCCGGTCTGGGATCCTGGGAAGCGAGGGAGGGAGGTAGGGGGCCGCTGGGACAGAGGGTAGGTCTGGGCAGCCGCACACTGCGATGAGGGCTCCGGGCTGTGGGGCTGAGGGCTCGGCACCTCACAATCCTGCCAGTTTAGGACAGAACTTTGTTTACCTGCAGGAGACAGGGGGGAACAAAAAAGACTGCAGGAGTGGTCAACAGCCCTCTCCGTCCCCAGCCCACGCCACATTGTTCTCATCCCCATACCCGGGGCTCCTCTTGGCTTGTAGAAGTGCCTTATGGCCCCGGGGAGTGGAGGGCAAGCCCAGGAGAGCCCTGGCTCTGCTCAGTGACCTGAGCTCAGAAACCTGGGGTCCAGCCCCCAGCCCCAGCCCCTTGTTCCTTACAGCACGAACAGTACAACAGTTCCATGACCCGGAAGCAGTTGTCCAGGAGGGCTTTGGGTCGCACCAGCTTCAGGCTTAGCCTCGGGGCACTCAGGAGTGACACTGTTGCGTCCACCTTGGGGCCGACCTCCACATCCTGGAAGGGAGGAGGCCCTCAGGACCATGGGTACCACCGCCCCAACCCCAGGGAAGAGACAGGGCCACGTCCCACGAGAACCCTGGAAACTGCCCTGCTTGGAGCTGCTCCAGCCCCGGAGGAAGGGGACTAACGGTGACCAGAAGGCCTATGGGTAACTTCTCTACTGCTTCCTGCAGGCGACAAGGTACCTCGACACCCTTCACCCAAGCCCAACACAGAGGCTCCTCTTTTTCCATCTTTGGAAAAATGACTGCAGGAAGCAGTCCGGGATGGGGGAAAGTAGAGGACATCCCTGCTGTCCCAGCCCAGGCCTGGCCACCAGCACATAAGGAAGGGGTCCTGGGCCCGGGAGACAGGCCAGGATTTAAAGATCTGCACTGCCTGCACGGAACAAGACAAGGGACCCTCATGAGGACACCTGGGTGCCAGGCATACTGGCCAGGCCAGTCTCCAGCTCCAAGCTCAGGGTGCTTCTGTCCACCGTATGCATCGACAGGGAACACTGGGGAGCAGGCAGGCACACCCGGGGACGGAACAGGGGGCCGGAGCTGGTACAGGGGACATGGTCTAGAACGGAGATGCAGGGCCTGAGCCTGGGGAAGACCATCCTCAAGGCAGTATACTGGGTTGAATTGCCCCTCCCCCAATCTCCACCTCCAAAAAAACTATGTCCAACCCTGGGACCTGTGACCATGACCCTATTTGGGAACAGGACGTTTGCAGATATAATTAAGGATCTCCAGATGAGATCTGTATGAATGTAGGGTAGGCCCTAAATCCAGTGCCTGGCAGCCTTGTAAGAGGGGGCACTCGAGGGAAAGGCCACGTGAAGGACATGGGGCCACAAGCCAACAGCAGTAGCGGCCAGCAGAGGCAGGGAAGAGGCAGGAAGGGTCCCTCCTCCCCAGAACTTTTAGAGAGAGCATGGCCTTGCTGCCACCCTGAGTGCAGGGTTTCTGGCCTCAGGCCTGTGGCAGGAGAATTTCTGTATTATTCTACCAGTTAGCAGTCCTGTTCACAGCAATTCAAAAAAAAAAACAGTCTACAAAGGCTTTGAAAGAGCAGTGAGCATGGCAGGAGA